CGAAACGGGGTTGAAAAGAGTGCGCTGAACTCGCAGCCCTTCACGTGCCCCACATGCGCCCCAGCAGGTCTGGGGAGCCTCTGAAGCTCCTCACAGGGGCTCTCTGAGCTGAACACGACTTCGGCTCTCACAAACCAAGGGCTCAGTTTAACATCTTCATACCAGAGGGCCCCGCTGGTATTCATGGCAAGCTCCTACAGGAGACCAGGCCACCTCCCAGGGACACGCCGAGGGAACAGCACCAAGCAGTGCAAAAGGAGGAGATGAGGAATTTCCACAAAATGCTCCCTCATCACTTTTGGGGATGATTTTTGGTAAATAAAACATGTCCATCCCAGCACACCCTATGCACACACGTACGTGTGTGTGTGCATGTGCTCGGAAGCATCCGCTCAGCAAAGTGTGGCTATTGCTCTGTCAGGGCTGCTGACCCTAAGGTAACTCATAAGTGAATAATGAATAAGTAATTCATACGTTCATAACACATCCCAGATTAAAAAGTGGCCCCTATGAACAGCCTGCGCTAGTCTCCCCCTTCCAACAACAGGCTTCAAAACGCCCGAGCAGCCCTGGCTCCGTGTTCGAGCCTGGCTCGAATTCCAGGGAATTCCCTGGAATTCCCTTCCTGGAGGCCAGGCGTTTCGCTGTTCCCAAGGAGCTCAGCAGGCTTGGGAAGCCGGGGAGCGAGGGAAGGCAGGAGCACAGCGCAGGCTACGTTTGAAGAGGCCATCCCCAACCCAGGGCATGGAAGGAGGCTCGAGAGGAGCAGCTGGGCGAGCAGACGGCTTGTCAGGAGCTGTGGAAGGCAGGTCCCGTCTTTCCGGACGATCCCGAGGAATGCAGCAATGCCCGCTGAAGCGTTTCCTCTTCCAAACGAGGCACCCTGGGCCCTATTGCCTCCCTCTGGAATTTTGTCCGATATTCAGGCAAGCAGAAGCGTTGGGACAAACACTACACATTGCCAGAGCGAAGGGAAGGGGACAGGTTATCACAGCAGCCTCCAGGACCCAGGGAGATCCTGCAGGCCCGTTCTTCATGCCCCTCCATTCTGGGGCTTTGAAATCCCGCCAGGAAGAGCAGCAGCACCAACCTGGAATGTGGAGGTTGAAGGCCAGCAGGACGTTGACAAACAGGTCGGGCAGCTGGTCAGTGGTGTCCGAGGGCAGCCCGTCCTCAATGACATCCAGCAGGAACTGCACGAACTGCGAGTTGAGATGCTCTGCGTGTGGAGAAAGGAGCATTTACAGCACAGGGGGAAGAAACCCAGAGCAAGCAAGCCAGTTCCCTCTGCTTTTGCGCTTCCAACCGTTAGCGGAGAGCCAGCTTCAGGCACAGGGAATTCACCGCCCTGCAAGAGGACTAGGTGAACAGCAGCAGTGTCTTTATGCACGAGACAAGTGTCTCAAAGAACCACCCACTTCAGAGAGATGCTCAAAGTCTGTCCCCCACCATTTTTTATTTTCTTTCCCATCCCAGAGTAGATAAAATCCCAAATTCTGCTCTAGCCACTGTTCCAGCATCACCACCACCAGGGATGCCTTCAGGTAAGAGATTTATATTCTTGACTACTGGTTTAATCCATGTATTTTAAAACAAATAATCATCCAGATCATTAGTAATAACTCATTTTTCAATTTTGCTATTAGGAAAGCTCAGGAGCCCATGCAAATAAGTCCTCCTGCAGGAAATAATTGCTAGGGTTACACAAGGAGCAATAGTGAGAGATGAGGAGATTCTCTCCTTGGTCCCTGCTGTACCAGCTTAGATCTTGCATATGTTTATCAGGAAGGTAAGTGAAGCTGCAGAGGAGACAGGTAGAAAATCCTCTTCTGCATCTCTAGGAAAACTTAGGCCAGCACTTCCCAAATACTGGGAACACAGCATGGACAGGGGAAAAAATCAGGCAGAAAATCCTCCAGCAGGAGGAAGGACGAAAGAGAAAGGGTGACAGGAGCAGCCCTGGCACATCTGCCCCTCCTGCAGTACTCTCCACCTTCACGAAGAGCCTGAGATACGCAGGGCTGCGTCGTCCTGTCCCAGGCGAGAGCAGGAACAGGCCACGTTCTGGACATATGCAGGCCACGTTCTGGACGTATCCAGGCTATAGGCTACATTCTGGACATATCCAGGCCACGTTCTGTATGTATCCAGGCTATAGGCTACATTCTGGATGTATCCAGTCTCTAGGTCACGTTCTGGATGCATCCAGGCCACATTCTGGATGTATCCAGGTCACATTCTGGACATATCCAGGCTATAGGCTACGTTCTGGACGCATCCAGGCCACATTCTGGACGCATCCAGGCTACAGGCTACATTCTGGACATATCCAGGCTACGCCATGTTCTGGGCGCATCCAGGCTATACATGGGGCTCGCCATCGCGGCAGCCGCGCCGGGCTCTCACCGTAGTGGTGGTAGGGCAGGGGCTCCCCCATGCAGAACATCATGGCCAGCACCAGCGCCGAGTAGCACATCTTCTGGTGATCTGCAGGAGAGACACGGGGCGGCCGTCAGCTCCTGCAAGGCTGCAAGACCCGATCCCCCCGGACACCTGGAAGCCACACGGTTAAGATACTTAACGCCTATTAGATAGCTCTCGAGTCCTGGATTCACTGATCCATAAGGATGTTTCCCCCAGCCGCACGCGTTAAACTCAGGCCTTCCACACCATGTGTTTCCAAATGGATTTGAGGATAATCACAACAAAAAAAACCCACTCATTTCTTCCTCCTCTACTTAAGAGGATCTGGGCAAACTTCATGAGACTAATTAAGAGCCTCCCCTGCACAGTCCCAGGACGCAGCGCGTCGTTATGCAATTGTGAACCCAGGAAAAGCAGCCATCTGGCCAGCCCGAAATAGTGCCCGTTGCCACCGCTGCCGCCCCCGGACAGCGACGCTCGGTGCCATCCAGGTGCGGCTCTGCCCGGTGGCACGGGGAGCCCTGGGGAGGCCGGGCCCCTGTCCCCACGTCCCCCGTGTCCCCGTGGCCAGCGCTGGGTACCCCGCAGAACCGCGGCGCTGCCTTCCCTGGCGCTCCGCTGCCAGGGACGACTCCGTGGATATGCACAACGCCACGGAAGAGGGGCTGGGTTCTACAAGGAGAAGCCTCCATCCAGTTCAGGGAGAGGGAAGTTTATCAGAAAGGAAGTGTGATGTTTATAAAGCAAGGTACCACGCACAAAAGCTAAATAGAGTTCAGTTATATCTGCCTGAAAGGGCCCTTTTTTTCTAAATAAAGGCCAACCAAACCAGTACTTTGTGATTATTTTAAAATATACCTCTATGTATTTCCCTTCAATGTGTGAGGCTTCTCTCTCCCTACAGCCCTGCTTTCCAGGAAGGCTCCTGCTTGCCCCGAATCCCCCTGCAGTCCTCGGAGACGCCGTCCTTGTCTGTGCACGTCCCCGCTCGCTCTTGGTTTTGGCCACGCTCACAGGTTTGCTCCTCGCACGGGCCCGGAGAGGCTGCAGAAAGTGCTGCAGCCCACGGCCCTGAAGCCCGCTCCGCACGCGAGGCCGCTGCAGACAAGGTACCCACAGCTCCACAGAGACACGGAGCCCTCACATAGCAAAAACCTCGAGTAAAGCTGTGCGTAGATCGTATGGGGCTTCACCAGAGGCACTTCAACAAGATGAAGAGCTTCTAGGAGAGCAGTCAAGACCAGGTGGCAGCCAGAAAAAAATGGAACCTGCTGTTTACTCGCAACATGAAAGCTGGGGAGGACATTTAATGACTTAAATATAATTCCTACTTATATAAGGAGCTCTCGGTTAGTAGGTGTCAGCGATGCCAAAGCTCACTGAAACAGAAGAGGATCCTGACGTGCACTGAGGTAACGGCAACGTGCACAGTTAGAGCGGCTGGGTAAGAAATGCCCCCAGGCACAGCCAGCCACCCCCGGCCACCATCGCTCATCGTTGTTTGCTACACGATTTCTTCGTATTCCCTCCCAGGAAACACGTCGGAGGCAGGATGCTGCAGGACGCGGATACAGGGAGCTGCTGTTCCCACGTTCCTAAGAGGCCTTCACAAACTGAACGTTCTCTCCCATCACATCAGGAGCAATGAAATAATGATCAGAGAACTAAGAGGCAGCAATAAACAGGTGCTTGTAGGAAACGTGGAGGAAGACATTAATCAGCCATGGGATAGGGGAGGGCGGCGTAACATCCTTGGCCCTCCCGCTATGAGCTGGCGTCCATCGGAGGGACAGCAACTGCCGCGGGTAGAGGGCAAACCTGCTGAAACCTCCTCCCCTTCCTCCCATGCATTCTGCACTTTCACCTGTGATAACCCGAGACCGACTTTCCAAACAGACACGTTTCCTCCAGGAGCAGCAGGTCTGTGGAACAGGCAGCGACGGGAGCAGCGCTGCTGCAAACAGGCTAACGGAGCGACGCAGCCCGAGGACGGGCTCACCTTGCGTGTGGGTCTGCATGTCGCGCGCCAGCTCCATGGGCAGCACCGAGTTCACCAGCGTGGAGATCACGGCGGCGTCCAGGTTGCACATGGCTCCAAAGCACTTGAGCAGCAGCGCCCGCAGCGGCACCCTGTGTTCCTGCAACGACAGGTCATTAGAGCCAGCGACGTCCCGCAGGCGCAGGCTACACAGCGAAGCAGCCTTGCTACTGGAAAAGCTACAGAGCACCCCAGGGTAAGAGTGAAGAACAGAAGCTCTACGAGTTTTTAACAACCTGGGAGGCCTTTTAGGACAACATTCACAACGGGCCGCTTCTGCATTAGGTCAGGGGACAGGCTGCAGCAAGGGGAGCTCAGAGCCGAAATGCCAGCTCTCATGCGATGACATTGATACCAATCAACCCCCCAGGCCTCCTCAGCCTCCAGCAGTGACTTTGCACATCCTACTCCCTGCTCCTTAACTGTGGAGCTGTTGGGTTTGTGCTGGGAGCACCACGAGGTCCCGGGGGCTGCGGGATCCCACCGCAGCCTGCAGCTACACCTCCCTGCTCCGGGGCTGCCGGCACCGCCAGGGCTCGGGGACGGCAACGGAGCCACGCGCTGGCCCACGCAGCCAGGCAGGAGGCCCAACCGCCCCGTGTCTGGTCAGGCTTCCCCGAAACCCTCGGCAGAAAGCGGCGCAGAGCGAGGCAGCAGGTACCGCGTCCCCCGGCTGCCTTCCCGCTGCTCCCAACGCCGGGCTCGGGGTTCAGACACCCCAGCACCCCGTTGAACACAACGAGGCTGCATGAGCTGGGGAGCGAGGGACAAGCTGAGGACAGGACTCCAACCCCCGGCACAGTCCTGCAGCAGCCAACTGCAGGAAGGAGAGGGAAAGCAGCTCTTCATAGACAGTGAAGACAAAACTTCCATTTCTTCCTCTGAATACTGATTCGCTTCCTCAGTCCCAAGGCTTTTTACTCACAACCTACTTTCCAGAGCAAAGCTATTTACTAATGCACAGGAGTGCATCAATTAAAAGAGGAGCAGTCACAGCCTGTCAGCTTTCCCAAGGCATCCTCGGAAATCCTTCCTCTAGACATTAGAGATGCTGATTCTGGCCCTCAGTGGAGCTAATAAAAGCAGCAAGCTTTTCCATTCACCGTGCCAGCTACTGCTCAAGTTGAGCATCTTCTCCCCCTCCATACGACTTGCATGCACAATGTGGCACTGGCCAGCATGCCAAAGGGA